CTCAAGGAGCGGAATACCGGACGAAGACATTTGAAGATACAATCACATGGCTGGGAACCAAGTCGAGGCCGTGGCTGATGATCATGGACAACGTCGATGATCCAGCGATGGACCTATTTCCATTGATTCCTAAATCAAGATATGGGCACCTCATCATTACGAGTCGTGACTCTACTCGCCTAGGCTTAGCCGGACAGTCCAATCGACATCCCATCCACGAACTCGAGCAGGAAGCAGCTATCGAGCTGTTACTCCACCTGTCGTCGTGCTCAGCAAGCGACTCTAATATACAGCTAGCCTCGAATATTGCGGCCGAATTGGGCTACCTTCCGTTGGCACTCGTCCATGCAGGGGCATACATCTCGATTCATGGAAGTATGTCATCCTATCTGGAAACCCACCGAAAATGTCGGAAGGAGATGTTGGAGCATCTACCTCCGAGTCTACCATCAGACTACAACTTTGCAGTAGCCACTACAATCGAGATGTCATTCGGGAAGCTGCCTCAGCAGAGTCGAGATATTCTACATCTCCTGTCTCAATTCCAGATCGGTTCTATCGCAGAATCAATCATCGTGAAAGCAGGAGAGAGAGAGTTTATTCATCAGGCATGGCCTTCGCCTATCGATCCTATCGGAGAAATACAGCAATGCGCCGATGCCTTGATGAAGATATTTTGCCCGAATGGTCGATGGTCTCGACATGACTTCGATCAAATCATTTGCTCATGTCTGCAATCGTCGTTGTTACAGACAGGGGAGAGTGAGAGGATGGGCAGACACTTTTCAATGCATCCTCTTGTCCGGTCATGGATACGAATTCATAATGAAAACGATGTGGAGCCATCAATACATGACGTTTTCATTAGATTAATTTCTTCAAGTATCATGATTGGCAAAGAATATGAGTATTTGGAGTTTAACCAGACGTTGCGACCACATCTTCAGTCGATAGATGAGAAGGATGTGCGATATATTGGAGACAAGCACGCATTTGAGAGGGTGTTGTATGAAAATGGGGACTATTCACTTGGGTTAGGTCATGTCGAGAGCTGTCTTGACCAAGAGACAGAGACATTGGGCGAGAGGGATATAAGTACTGTTCAATCGATACATAGAGTGTCTATCTACTACTCCAAAGTAGGAAAATACACCAAAGCTCTAGAGATTGGATTGAAAGTGATGGAACTGCGCCAGATGATCCTGGGGAGCGAACATCCAGAAACCCTCAGGTCAATGCATAATCTGTCCATCTGGTACTCTGAAGTTGGAAGGTATGGCGAGGCTCTGGAGATGGGATTGAAGGTGATGGAACTGCGCCAGAAGATCCTGGGGAGCGAACATCCAGACACCCTCATGTCAATGGATAATCTATCCATCCGCTACTCTGAAGTTGGAAGGTACAGCGAGGCTCTGGAGATGGGATTGAAGGCGATGGAACTGTACCAGAAGATCCTGGGGAGCAAACATCCAGACACCCTCCGGTCAATGCATAATCTGTCCATCTGGTACTCTGAAGTTGGAAGGTATGGCGAGGCTCTGGAGATGGGATTGAAGGTG